TTAGAGTGACTGGTCTTAAACCCGACTTACAGAGTACAGTAATTATAGGAGGTGAAGGGAGGGGCTGTGAAGGATGCTGTGGATAGGTGGGGGCCTGGGGAGAGAGGTTGTTGTCATTTGGCAGCCAGTCCAGTTGGAGAGAGAAATGATTATTGTAGCCAGAGCCTGGGTGGTGGAGCATTTATCAACCAGTCATCGCAATGATTCACACGGTCCAACGGGGAGCCATTATTTTACCACCCCGGTCTCTCACGGCAACCTGCTGGTGGTGAGTATGATGATAGCTGTGGGCTTTATGAGCACAGGAACAGGCATACACAGAGGCTGTTTGAGTACAATAGTTTGGAAAGTCCTATTTCTTTTCAGAGAGCCGTGTGTAGTCTGTGGATTGGACTACGCCGAGAAAGAATGGAAGAGCTGAGCCCAACTCAGGGGCATATGGCATTTGTTCACTGCAGCAGAATACAGAGATGCCTCGGGAAGGGACTGAAAAACGTGGTCCCCGTAGTTGGGAGGGAAAGTAACTGGCATTGAATACATAAAGATCACAAATAAATACACTATCCACCTGCTTGGAAAGTGCTTTGGGACCCGGGAGATCTGGAGGCATTGATACAGTTTTTAATCGTCTGGCCTTCCCGTACAAGCAAGTATAACAGTCTGCGCATAAGCAAGTAAATTCCTCACTGAACAGGGAATATTGGAAAGAGGCAAGGGAGGTCTGCGATGGGCTTCTCATAATAACAATGATAAGAAATGCTATTCTTCTATTCATACTCCCCTCACTTTTCCTTTACCAACTTTCCCTTTTGGCTCCCACGGGACACACATCATTCTAATATACACAGATTTTCATCCCTGTGCTTTTTGTGAAAGACCTACAGGACAGACAGAGAGACACATGCAGGGAGAGGGAGAGAGATGGGGGCTGTTTATTTAGTCAGATCTAACGTGTGTGGAATAGATTGGAGCTGGAGAGAAAGCCGTCCACGCAACGGCAGTTGGTGTCAGTGGGTGAGTGAATGATGCTGCGCCTCAAATCACTCCAAAGCCATACTTTATGGTGAACAGTAAATTGAGATTTTGGACATTGATGAATTATCATCATCACTGACAGGTGTAGTGTTGCATAATGGCAATGACGCATCCATGAAAATGAAATATATTGCATATGTAGCAACAAGACTGAAGAGCGTACAGCCACGCTAGCGGCTCTGTGAGGCTGCACCAAGGCACAGCAGTGCTTTGGGCTAAATGTTAACATCAGCATGCTAACATGCTCATAGTGACAATGCTGACATGCTGATGTTCGGCAGGTGTTTTACCATGTTCGTCTTAGCTTAGCAGGTTAGTATGCTATGCTAATGCTTGCTAATTAGCACAAAGTACATCTAAGGATGATGGAATAGTGATTAGCTTTGCAGGTATTGATCATGAACCAAAGAATTGGATGATTTTCAATTTTGACCTGACGGTGGCGCCAGATGAAAAGTCATTGGATCACTAAAGTTATTAGGCTTCTGTGGCCCATTAATGTCAGCACAAAATCCAGCAATCCATCGAAGTGTTTATTTTTTCGTCTGGACCAAAGCAGTAGACCAACAGAGCAACTGACAGACTGACATTGCCTTCCCAAGAGCCATGTGTTGGTGTGGCTTCAAGTAATGTGCATGCTATGAAAAAAAGCACCCTTTTTGCTCCATGTGAGGACACTTAGAATTTAAAAAAAATCATAATAAGTAAATGTTCTACACTAGGTAGTATAGAGGGAGTGATTTCGGACACAGCCAGATTGAGTGAGTGCCTATTTGCGTACTCATTCTCACAGATCTCCTCATTGCTCTCTAAATTATTCACCCGTACAAAATTCTTTTCCCAGGATGGCTGCAACTATGTCTTCATGTCTGCCTTATATACTCTTTTTTTCCCCCTCAGCCTACTCTCGCTTCACTTCCATGTGTCATTCACTGTCATTGTGAAAAGGTGTGTGCGACTCCACTAGTAGAGCAGAACCCATTATCATAAATAGGCCAATAAGTAACTTCACACAATGTGTCTCCAAAGCAAGCACACTCTATATGCAAAGCAGAGGCGCACTGTTAAAGAAACTGGCGCCAAGTGATTATATTTGTAATTTAATTTCCTTGGTCACACAGAGATAAGAGAAGGGAGCGGCTACAGTTGGCCAGGGATGAATAGGGTGACGAGAATGGGACTACAGCTTCATTGTCTGGACTGAGATGTCCGAGACGACACCTTACGAGGAAGGGTACCGGCGGGCAGATACGGCAGCCGGCACACACTGGGATTCACAAACTCAAGTCCAAGCTCAAAGACACAAAAACAACGTTAGTACTAGAGACAGCAGAGAGAGGAGTTCTGTTATGCAAAAGCGCCTGCACTCTCAAATCCAACGGATGAAAGTAAGTAAGTGCAGGATAATGAAGAAACTCCTTTTCCCCTAATGCAAGCGACGTCTCTCTCCTTTCTGTCTCACTATCCTTCGCACTCAGTTTCTGCTGAACAAATGTAATCAGCAGGGTGGTCTGGGTGGGATGTCAGTCACAAAGAGCAATGGCTCATTGCAGATTCTACAGGCGAGATGAACTGGGTCACTGCAAGAAAAATGACTTGAAGGACACAAAGTGTACTCTCCCCATATCCTCGTGCACCCGCTTTCTTTCTCCCTCCCTCTCTGTCTGCTTTTTCGGAGATTGTAGGACTGCAGACATCAAATTTCCTGACTTTTCCATTTTCTAAGAGCGTCCACTTATACTGATGACAGTGCAGTGGAGGGCACAATACTGCAGTGGTCAAACTCTGATTTTGACTACATCAGAGCATTGGGGGCTACATAGAGCTGGTGGTAAGGGAAGGAGAGACAGAGTAAGGTAAGGAAATCTGACACCACGCAGGGACAGTGTGAAACTATTTTGTGACATCTCAAATCCTCTCTCCCCCTTTGTTCTCTCCTCCCCTCATCTTTATGTCTGTTTCTTCCCTGCTGTCTTGTCTTTCAGTGTATTTCCTCAGTGTCTTCACTTTGAACCCAACAGCATTAACCTGTCAGGAAAGTTACAAATGTTCTGAGTGAATTATGTAAACCACAGAGAAATAAAACTGCAAAAAGCATGGAGTTCTCGCTTTATTTCATAATTCATCATGTTCCCAGATCGAGCCAAATAAAACTTGACTTATTAAGTAGTCCAGCACATTCTGGCTCAAAATCGCCTGAAATATGCCCGACAATATTTATCACACTTTGCCTACCTGGCAAATAGAAGTCAAACACACACAAACACATGCACATACATGCACAGATTTTTTTTTTGTGTGTCTGTATGTGTGTGTGTGTGTGTGTGTGCGATTTCATTACTCAGATGAAAGCAGTGTCTCACCCATTTCACCAGATTTCATTGCAGGAGGTGAAGCGATAGATGTTACACCAGCACCACCAAAAGGTAAAACAGAAAACAACAGTTTCTTGCTCTCCTTTCTGTCCCTTTCCTCGCCTCCTAAATACAAACTTACAGCTCTGAAAACCAGATTAAGGATGCTTCGCCCCGGCAGCCGGCAAGTTTATTTATTTATCTTAATGAACACAACCGCAGATGCACAGGCGAGCACAGAAACACACACTGTATAGGCTACTGGGAGGGTAGCATGGTGGCGGTGCAGTATAATTAGTAGGACATGGCTGTATAATTGGTCTCTAATGGATATGAAGAGCAGCGGTTTAGCCCAGGCTGTGTTCTACACATGCTGCTGACCGCGGGCAGGAAATGTCGACGGCCTGTTCAATCTTGGTACCATCTTCCGATTGATGTCTCTGTAGCAAATGCCCTTCAACAATCAGCGCCCACAATCTCTCTGTGGCTATCAGGCCACCTGTCTATCTCTCTGTAGCATCTTCCTCCATTCATCTGTCATTTCTTCCTTTGTGCCTAAACATCTCACTATCTCTTTCTTTCCATCGCCACATTGATTTCGGGATGTCTTTTTCTCTGAAGGCATTCTCAACCTTTGGTCTGTTTCTCTCAGGGAGGTGAAAGAGCAGTGTTTGTGATGTTGTGATGGTGAAATGTGGAGTGTTTGTTTATGAAATGCAGGCAGCCATAAAAGACTGGGTGCTTTCAAGGGCCCAGGCAGCGCATACCAGGGGAAATAATGCCAACTTTAGATGAAAAGGAAATCAAAATGTCAAAAGTGCTTTAATTTACCAAAGAAAGTAGGCTACCTGCTCTCATTATTTAACAAATGAGGTTTGAAGAGATTTCTTTGAAAAATGAGGACTGAACTACACTAACACTGCTGAGAGGCACAGCTGGACGCAAGAGGTCAACACACAGTGAATTGGATGGATTTCAAGTTTAGTTGGGGATGCTCTATAGAACAATTCTGTTCATGGATCGCGTGCTGATGCAAGACGACCTTCAAGGACATTCTCCTCATTTACACAGCAATTAAGCGCTACCCTGTTGGTAAATTGAAAAAGAGACAAAAATCCTCTGTGGATTTAATAACAAACTCATTACCAGGGCCCAACAGGGCGGAACTGCCTTTTAATTAGAGCAACACCTGATTAACGCCCAATTAACAGAGCCAGAGCCACTTAATTCTCCCCCACTTTGGCAGGTTGAGAACATAAACATAAGCAGTCCAGCATCGGAGTGCTTCCTCTCCTCCTGGGAACGTGTGAGAGAAAAGTAAATAACGACTTTGGAGGCCGTCTGTTGTCTGGTGGTCCAAATGCTCTGCAGAGCTGGAAACCGTACGCTGGAGATGCATGAAGTAAGTGTTTCAAAGAGGAAACAGATGTAGGACTGGCTGGCAAAAACTCCTGCTTCACTAACCGTGAAACTCCTGCTGGGCTGATGTAAGAAAACTGCCCCATCAGTGGACCTTTGTGTTCAGCCTCAAAATACCCACTGCCATTGTTCCTAATCTCAGATTATACTCTTTTACCTTTAAGACAGACACAGCCTCAAGGATGTGAACTTTTACAACTTTTATTTAGCTTTGCAGTGTGGACAGCACGAGAACAGCACAGTCACACAATGGTTTGTTGAACATACATGCAGTACATTTTGGTATCCATATGACTGTAATATATGTATTTTTTAAAATTAAAATAAGGGATAATATAAAAGAGCTTATGACCTCAGGTATTTGTGCTATTGCTCGTCATCGGCATACATAAAGAAAAGAATACTGTATTATTTGCTGTAGTATTTCACAATCGGCATGACGTACCCTTACATCATATATTAAAGCTTTCGCCACACATTTCAACCAATAAAATGAATATTTTGAAATAAACAATTCCTCTTTGATTGAGTTTTACTCTCAAAAGTGTCACATGGTCATCACAAGATGGAACTATTTTAACATTCATCAAGTACACTGCAGCACCTACTAAATGGTTCAGGTAAAGGTACAAGTTCAAAGTTAAAACTTGGATGTGTTCCCGGCCCAGAGGCAAACTTGGACAAACATTTGTGAGTTTTTAAATCTTTGCAAACACCAATTCCTCCTCGTCACCTTGTCGAAGGACAGTTCTCATCTTACATTTGGTGTCAAGTTTCTCTGCCAGCATTGTTGGTCCTTAGTGTGTTTTTCATTTGATTTCAGTCCATATTGAAAACAAACTGCCACCACGGTCAACAGGAAGCTGGAGCATTCAGTCCCACTGACTTCAGGATTCAGCTAATCTTGATTCCACTAGACAACATTTAACTCCAAATTCCAAACACAGTTAATCAGTATTCGGTCATAAAAGCCACAGGATTGCTGCTTTCTCTGAGTCTGTGTGCATTAATGTGTAACTTTCACACATTCACTTTCACATTCAATCTCAATCATCAATCTGTCATGTCCCCATGTCTCCACGCCATTCAAAGTGATGACATACAACTGTTTGGACTCATGTTGCTTTTGCTGTTACCAGAGTTATAGCCATCGCTTAAAAATCGTTTAGAGGCATTATGTTGAGACGAAATCCGCCACGACTCCACAGCCTTCTCCAAGTCTGGTAGGATGTCTGGAACGACAACTTGTTCAGCGATAAAGACTATCATCTCCACGACCAGCAGCAGGACCCAGCCTACAGCCCCAAGCCAGTAGGAAGAGCCGAGGCTGGAGATGTCTTGACGGATTTCTTCTCGGTGCTGATATGTGAAAAAAGACCAGCTGAGGAGGAAGAAGAAACCTGACAGAAGAGAAAAACGAGTCAAATCAAGTATTATTGCACGGGATAAAAGTCATTAAGGTCAATTATTACATGCCTGGAGCTTCAGAAAAGAGTTTATATGATAATGAAGTGCAATTCCACGGAAAGTAAAAAGTCTCTTTAAAAACCGCTGCCTTGCAGGGTAAGCAAATGAGTAGTACATAAAAGAATTTCTGTAGGTGTGGGTTTGACATGAACTACACAAACCAAAAGGCTATTTAGAAGTTAATTGGAAATGGGGCTATTTTCCCTCCTTTACTTGGTATGTATACATTATTTAAAAACTCCCAAAACATCGGCAGTCTAATTATCAATAAAGTGAAACATAAAAACAAGCTGTGTGGCTCAGGGAAACAAATGTTTAACATATTCAAAGCAGTGCTGCGCTGTTACCTGTGGAGGCCATGGTGAGTAGCAGCAGGGTGGTGGGGTAGAGGGCCTGTCCTGCCATGAGGAGAGAGCGAGTGTTGGAGTAGGAGCGCACCGTCTGAGACGTCCAGCAGAGGGCAAACACGAGACACAGAGCTCCAGTGCTCATGGCCATCAGGAAGGAAAGAACCCCAAATACCCTCTCTGCTTCCTGGGCTGGAAGACACAAAACAGCAGACACACGCACACAGAAGGTAAACTAGACTGATATTCACCGTGCACCGCCATAGTTACACGATAATATTCAGCATGATGAAGTGAAACACGCTGAAGTGATGACACACTCCTGTGGATGCCCCCCCAGACAACAGGTGCCTGCCTCCAACTGAAACTGCAAGAGTAAAATCAAGAGTTTGTGTACTTTTTCAGTACTTTTATAGGGACTGTGGGTAGAATCACACTGTATTTGACTCAATCTGAAAATGTGTTCGCACAATGAAAAATGACACATTGGAGTAAAACAAACACTGACAAAGGGACTTCATTTCTTTTTCACATTGACCAGCAGTTGGTTTTAGTTAGTCTGTTGCTAATAGTAACCTGTACTAGCACAGCTCTGTTGCAGTTTGATTGACATTGTTACCACCTACTGTTTTATCACCTGTCTGCGACCAAGCAAATGACAATTGAAGCTGTTTTGTGATTGTCCATTTAAGCTGTCAACAATGCTGGCCCTCATGCAACCTGACTGAGACTAATGTGTTGCTAAAAAAAAACATACAACCAGAAGGCTAACTGTTGAATAAATGAACCACCTGTACTGTATTTTACTCTTTTTGCTTCTACCTTTGCATGCTCAGGATGTTTGTTTAATACATGACTCATTGTGTCACTAATGCAGTTCATTCACAGGTCATGCCTTGTTTCTCCCTCTTAGCATAGTCTATACATTCTGATTCCAGTTTAGTTATATGTCACTGTACTAATTAATTTTTCAGTACCTTTGGTCTGACTCTTGTTTTTTCCAGTATCTTTAATTTTTTCTATCATTGGATTTGTGGCCAAATGCTGCTTTCAGAGTTCAAGTAAAAACATGAAAGGACAAGAGCTGTCTTTAGCCTTTACAGGAAGTGGATTAGCTCACTGCATACCTGTGCACGCACTGTGAGGACACAGGGAATGAACCCGAAGGTGTGTTTGCATAATAAAAACATCAGTGGGATAAAACAAAGTCACGGGAGCTATTTTCTGAAGGTTAACAATGTCAAGATTTAGTTGGCTGACAAAGACCAGGTTCCAGCTGATTTCAGCACCTCTGCCTGCAGCCAAGTGTGAGACCTTTAGCGGATACAAAGAATGCACTTCATTTGGGACAGGAGCAAGAACAAACTTGTTCACAAATCCTGAGAAGCTCTTCTGAAGCCCTGTTTTTTTCAGATGCTCTTCCTGATATTAATCCCCTCTAGAGATTCAGAGATGTAAAGTAAGTCCCCCTAAGGCTGATCTCTAGCAGAACCAGTGCCTCATAAAACACAGCATAGCAAAAGGACATATCTATGCTTCATTATAAATGCTACCCATGTTTTCATTCCAAAGCTTTAACCTAACCCCGAGCGACAGCTTTAGACAGATGACAAATTTGATTTGTTGACAGCAGAAAAATGTTAAAAAAAAGGTGCTCACCATTGAAGACAGTGCCGTGTTTACGACCTTCTTGATCAGCGGTATTGTTATTCCACTCTGCCCAGAGTCCCCTCTCCTTCAGCCAGAAGGGTGTCGAGACTGCATAGCACACACACAGGCAACCTGCCAACCCCACACAGGACTGAGCAAACCTGAAGCGACTGATGGAGTCCCCTAACTCCAGAAACTTCATTTTTCTACTCCGCTGAGAGACAGGCAGGGAAAACTGGAGACAGGGAGAAAAAAAAAAAAAAGAGTTACTAGAGTGTACTGAAGTTGTGTAACAGCAAGTGCATCTATTTAAAAACTAACTTATTTTATTCATATAAATCAGCTGTAAAAATGTAGAATTATAATGAAAGTACAGTCTTACCTTTGTTGTTGAGGAGGAAAGAAGCTGTCAGGAACAAAGCCGTGAAGTTAGTCCGCCAATAAATGGAACAAAGATTAGAGTCCAGGAGCTGCTAGTGTTTACTACTCTACAAACACGACTGTACAAACACGTTCAACACCCTGACACATTATTACTTGCACTGCTCATGACCACAAGCACCCACATGCACATCAGTCCCTTGAGTTTTACTCCGCCTCTGCTGCAGTGGAAACTCCCCCAGTCAACACTTAAATTTCCCCGAGAAGTCTCAAACTCTCCACTATGCTCTAACCCCACTGTTTAGAAAGTGAAAGCATTAAATAAATAAATAAAAGCGGCCATTCAATGTTTCAGGAAGCAGAAGTTGACATTAAACAAGGGGGAATAAAGAATAAGTGTTAAAGGAAGTTAAAATGTTATAAAGTCCCTTGATACTTGAGAGATACTCTTCACAGCAATATATCACTCATTTTGTTTGTCAAATGCAGAAACTGTGTGTGTGTGTGTGCTGGGGGGGGGGGGGGGCATTTAAGGAAATCCCACTCTCGATCTCTCACAGTGGGCTACAATGTGTTGTGGCTGCTGGCACTTTCAACCTCAGATATTTCTCCCCTTCGTCATAACTATCACCCCCTTCGCTTTCCTATGGTGCAATGGAACGTGCCCACAGATCACCCAAAAGCAAGTTTTTAAAAAATTTCAAACTGAAAACCTTCAAAGATTGTTTAGTATAAAATAAGATATTAGATATCTTCAAATAAAAACAACATAAATCTAAATTTTTCTCAGCGGCCAATTGAAATTTACTCAAAATGAAAGATTATGGTCAAAAAAAGATAATTATTAATAATTCAGGCCTTTATTTATTTACCCATCATTAACTTTACAGGAAGTACAATACATTCTGATAAAATAAAGTGCATATGATTAAAATAATAAAAATGTTTAATTCAGATTAAGAGATTTCAAAAGTTTGAGAATAGAATGTGACTGCTTTTGGTTGACTTACATTTGGCATTCACTTTGACAATTTGAGTAAACAAACATAAATCTTTTGACTCTGGGTTACAAAAAGGCAAGGCAGTCTCCCACAGCAGCTTAAAACTAAGGCCTCAAGATGCAGATCGAAAAGTACTCTGCCCTGTTCTTCCATCCTGGCCTTGCCTGCGATGCTTTTTGCTTCTTGTTTCCTCTTTAGCTGGCTTGCGGTGAATGTTTCCTCTTCACTCCTCAAAAACAGGCATCAGATTTGACCTTGTGTCAGGTGTTTGTATCAGGCTTTTCACCATAAAAGGCAGGGAGCGAGAGGGATGCTTAAGTACTGCCTCTTGAAATTTGGCAGCTACATTCGTGGCTGTTTATCCTAAGCTTACTTTCTGGCTCTTTGCAGCAGGGCCTTGAATACATCAAGAATCTCTGGGTCCTCTCCGGCAGACAGCTCCGGAGTGTTTTTCTCCAGCCAATCAGAAGAGCGGATTTGATGCCTGAGAGTACCAATCAGAGAGTCCAGACCCTCTGCGGGTTTCGATGCTTGGCAGCCCAGCAAAACAAACTCCTCAGTGGTCAACGAGCCTGTGTCAGGAACAGGGCTATCCTTCTCCTTCAGCTGGTCTGATGACTTGCTCTGGGGTGATGATGTTGAATTAACAGTCGCAGTATTGTCTGGATCTGCACTGTCCTCTTTCACTGACTTTTTGCTCTCCTCACTGGCTTCTTTGATGGAGTGTGAATCAGGGCTGGCACCTTTCTCCTCAATTTCCTTCAACGCCTCCCCGATTCGCTTCAGGCCTGAAATAACAAAAAACATTAACAAGTCAGTGGCTATTATCCAATCGATACCTAGTTTAAGACACAAAGCAGGAGATAACCTGAAATAATACAAACCATTTACTGAGTAAATTAAATAATAGATATCATCTAATCAATGTCTAGTTTAAGTTTGAAAATGTGAATTAGGAATAACTACTTGCTACTTGAAAATTTAAAAAATAGGTATAATCATTTTTTATACATAATTAAAGACACAGAGTGGCTGAACAATGGACTGGGCATAAAAAGTTCAAAACATGGAGGAATCTGTAAGTACTGTATATCATATACTGCAAACTGACCGAGCTGAAGGTGGTGCTGTTGGTCTGCGAAGACGATGCGGAACCAGCCAGGTGTGGAGCAGGAGAAGGCCTGGCCACAGCTCAACACCACCTTGTGTCTGAGGAAACTCCTCCACAGAGACAACTCCTCCTCAAACGACGACTCTCTGAGGTACTATCGACACGGAGAGACAGACACGGAGAGACAGACACATCAAGCCTGCGGGAATGTGCACACAATGTTCTCAAGAAATTACCATGTGGCCCATTAAGTTAAAGAGAATTAAATGACTGTGATATTTGCACTTCACTTGGCTATGCACAAGTTAGAGTTGAATTAACAGCCCAGAGATCTTTATCTAACGGTGGTGTTGTCACCTTCCTCAGGTCAGCCCAGACGTACAGCGCAGCAGGCCTGTCCAGATAGGGGATGCCCATGCTCTGCAGCTCTCCTGTCAGGAAACTGTGAGCAGCTTTCAGTCGGCCTCTGTTCTCAGGCAAAAATTCCTCACTGATCCACTCTACAACATGAAAATATAAAGTGACAATTGCTGAGTGTAAATCAAATGTTACGACTCTTTGTGCAGTGTGATGTGCAGCAGAGCCTCATGCTGTGCTCCTGTCATATCAGTGGATGCAGAAAAAAGGGGGATGATATCCCTCAGAAGTGAGGAAAGTGCTAGTAGGAAGTAAATGTTTGAATTGTTGAAAAGCCTGCATCTAAAATAATTTGCATTTATGAATTTAAATGTGTGAGTTTTGACTTGTTTTTCCCAAAAAGGAGGCTGAAGTGAGGATTATTTTTCCGGTTGTGTTTCGGGTAAACCTGACGTGACGAATACAGCATGTTTACAAAAGCACACTTTAAGCTTGAATCCATACCTCTGTCCTGAAGCAGTTGTGCTACCTGGTGCTGCGTGGTTCCAGGGACACCATGGAAGGAGCCCAGCTGGGCCAAAGCCTCCACGAGGTCTCTATTCTCAGTATACAGAGTGCCTATTCTGAGTCCTGACATTGCAAAGTCCTAGAAGGGACAAGAAGAAGTAAATGAGAAGGAGCTGTGAAAGCAAACACCCACTGAAGAAAAGCAGAGATTTTACGATACTGACAGCAGGGATATAAAAAGTCTCACAGTCTCACACTCTCATAGAGCACAGCACGGTATGTACCTTGCTCATCCCCCACATTACATGCGTCCTCTGTGGGTCGGGCAAACTGAAATAAGGGCACATTATTAGCAGTTAAGGGGCTGTCTTCAGACACAACTGAGATGATTAAGGGTCTAATAGAGTAATCATGCGGAGGTTAGGTTCACACAGTACCTGTCTACACTGAGGACACTGTGAAAGGTGACAGATTTATCAAAGACCGTCAGCATGTACACTTCATCTACAATGGCATGGAGCTCATTCCTAAAGCAGGAAAAGATGGAGAGAAAGATAATATAAATATATACAGTGCAGCATTAATAAACCTTGATGTGATGTTGTTAATAAGAAATAAGAAAATGCAACATAAATGTAAAATGGGTCCTTCAATGTCCTGTGTCAGCGTAAAAGCACTGTGGTTTATGGTTACAACAGCTCAGTGCCTGCAAGGGTCGATGGAGGGAGTTATTCTGGCAAGATCATTTAGGAAACAATAGATGATGCAGGAGACTCCTTGGCACATGGCTGCACTTGACAATATGCTGATGGTTAAGAAAGGTGATAAAACTCCATCAAGGGTGCGTGATATTCAACACATACGGAACGGAGCTCTCAGCCGTAAAATGAAAGGGTTCACACTGGGAACTGTATGCAGTGGCTTGGCAATGTGTTTAAAGGAGCCACAGGATTGTAGACTGGGGGGATTACAGTGTTAGGCCACAGCGTGAGATAACAGTAGGGCAGACATACCTTTTGGCAAATTCCAAGAAGGCAATCATCTCCTCCGGCGTGTAGATCTCAGCCAGAGGGTTGTGAGGGTTCATCAGTATAACAGCTCGGATAGTCAACCCCTGAAACAGGAAGCAAGTGTCTGAATTCATACAAACGTACAGACTGTTTCAGTCTTTAAAGCTGCAAAACAAATCCCTGAGAAAAAAAGAAGAGAATCTACGGCCTTTATTGAAACTCTTTGCCAAAGTATTTTTTAAGTGGTTCTGTGTTTCTTTAAATATTCATCTAAGGCTTAAGAAAACATGCATGCATGAATTACCTCTTGCTTAGCCATTTTCAGACCTTCTTCTAGTTTCCCTACAGTGAGGTGGAAGGGTCGACTGTCTTTGCTATCAGCCTTGAAATAAAAAATAACGAGGAAAAGGGAAAATATATTAGCATCCAAATTAGACAGCTGAGAATACAATCTACTGCGTGAGATCACATGATGCACTTCAAGCTGAATGCAAGCCCACTAGAATGCATACAACAAACGTTTCTAACACGCAACTACTGCAAGAAAATCAGGTTGTGTTTTCCTACCTCACAGTCCAGAGGAACATGGAAGAGTTTAACATCACTATACAAATGCAGATCTTCAGTGATCACACCGTAGAAAGGAGTAGGAATAAGAATGGCATCTACAACATGAAAAACACAATGACCACATGACATCTGAAACACATATCATCTCTTTCCAAATTATAAATTACTTATACTATACTTACTTATGAATGGCTCTTTGTACATCAACATGTACACACAAACCATATATGTTCAACTGATGCATTCATGGACAATCCACAATGATTCATATAAGCTACTATTTAGGTTATTAGTGTTCATTTTCATTGTTAATTTGGATGCAATTTGTACAATTTGCCACTCTAATTTTGCCAGACATATTAGCATAAATGCAGGGCTTAGCATCTTTGTGATCCATGTTGCTAGCAAATAGATGAACATCAGCTGCTTTTCATACTCATGATTATTATTATTAAATTAAGGCAGTTATTGAGCAAAACAAATATACTACATTGCTTAAAATTAGGCCTTGCTTGCAGTGCAGTGACACAAAACAATAAGCAATTCATGTAGCTGCCTAAATAATATTGAAGGATTGTTTTGTTTAAATAATTACGCTACAACTTCTTCTTTCTCTGTTATGCTTTATATGCTGATCATTTTTTATACAATAAAAAGGCAAAAAAAAGAAACTTGGCCGGATTTCCCATTGCTATTATGCACACATTTGTCTTCATACAAAATAGATATGGTTGTATCGTATGTGTTTGTCAGTGCATTTTGTGATCTCACCTTTAGGGTCACAAATTACTGCAGCAATACACGAGAAGAGGGAGCCACAGCCATTCATCACCACAACCTGAGCAAACACAAAAGACCTCATTAAGGCGCAGAAGGAGGCCTGATAAATATGCTACATATTCATACACCTACTAAAGCAGCCATTCATTACATCTGCAAATTAAGTTGCTCGCCCTCAAAACGCTATGTTAGTTCAACTGTAGCGTTTGGCATCTTTATAATCATCAGTAAGTTAATCAAATAAATTAACTGATTCCACAGCCTTCATTTTTGAAAACGAATGGCTACAATCTAGAACACAGAACCTTCCTGCTGTGATCCAACAGTGCTAACCACTGCTCCACAGTGCCCTGCTCTCACAAATACAAATTGACTAATTACAGAAACACAAAAAAAGAAAAGTGTATTTTATATTTGTCTCTGGTGGAAAATGTTTTTAAATTGTCTCATGGAAATGCCACATATTAACAATTTTATTAAAAGTAAAAGTTTTGCATTGTGTGTCATATAGTTTAGAGTTACAAATGCAACCAGTCATCCTGAAGTATGGTTCCTTTCAGACTTAAATCATTCATGAATTAATGCATATTCATGGTGGTTGAGGTGGCACTGCAGTAATAGTTTTCAGCAGTTTAATCTCTTAGAGATTAATTATATTTTCTAACTTTTGTACAGAATGTGAATGCCACAGTAAAATAAAAAAAATAAATAAAAAATTCTCCCCTTCTTCCCCTCCACAAATTGTGGAGAAAAGTTAAATATTGTAGTCTTACAAAAAGTGCAAGAACCTCAGAAGTGTACACAGTGTATGAGTAACTATATGTTGCTACATTTTCTGCTTCTTTTAGGTTGTCGTATTTTGCAAACTGTAGCATTTGTCTCATACACACTGTTCACATTACGTGTGTTACATTCCAGAGTTAAAAGCAATAATCTTCACTCACATTGTCAGCTTTGAGTGGGTTTGGAGAACAGCAGTAGTGAGTCAGGAACTTTGCAACCGCTTCTCTCAGGCTGAAAAGGAGGAGGATGTAAAGGTTGCAAGGAAAGTTAATGTTTGAAAGGTCTTTTTTAAAATGTTACAAATGTGTTTCCTTATTTCTTAATATAAATCCACTTTATTCTCTTACAATGTGTGCCCCCTCCAGTCTGAATACTGCAACAAGGATGGGTCAATATGGAGCATGTCAGGCTTGGTCAGCTGTAGCAGAGATGCAAATGAAATTCATTTGTGAGTGTGGGCGAAATCATTTAGAATAATGTACATTACACATTATATTTATTCATTATATTCAGAGGATTACAGGAATCTGACTGTGCTATTTATCTCACCCGTTTGTGAAGAAGATCATAGCAGAGTTTGTTCTCACTGGTTCCCATGTTGATGACACCCTGGAGATGAGAAGTAAAAGAGGATCTTAGAAGTTTTATAATAAATCAGAGCAGCTATAAGTAGATTTAACTATGTGACACAGTCTTACATCAGGGTTGTCTGTGTCATGGTGTTTGTTCATTCCATATTGGGCATAGCCTTCCTGGAGAATGCCTTGATGCTGTCGGATGCTGTTACCGCGATTCGACAGGTACACGCTACGGCCGGGAGTTTCTGTACCTTTCAGCGTTGCCAAAACATTCTGAGACATTTTGCAGGCCTTGTCAGATGTAGGCGGTGTTGACATTGTTGTTGTCTCTTGAGTGGAAACAGCCTGTGCCGTGGGAGCTTCTGAGGGCGGCTGAGATAACGATGATGAGACGGAGGGGGCGACGGCGGTGATCAGGGAAGCTGACAGATGAGCTTGGGGTGAAGCACACGGGTCAGTCGGTGTTGTCACAGTGGTCGGAGCAGCCTGTCCGACAGCAGCCAATGCCCCCGTGAGCATGCTGAACAGGCGGAGCTCATGCTGGCGCTCCTGTTCCGCCCTCCTCTCCTCCCTCTGTTCCCTTCGCTCCTCCGCCTGAAACTCTCTCTCCAGCCGCGCCTCCTCCAGGGAGAGGAGGCGCTCCTCTGCTGACTGCTGCCAGTTCAGGAAGCTGGCCAGGGCTTTATCCAGGCTCCCTTGGCTGCCACATCTAGCACCTCCGTGGCTCCATGATGATTTCCCACCCCTGCGACGCTTCCTCTGTCTCGCAGAAGTTGAGGGGTGAGAACCCTCCTTACCAGGTGGCTCAGGTGTGTCAAGAGGCCCAGGACCACCAACCGCATGGGTGGCAGCTGTGGCAGAGCCAGCAATGTTCAGTTCACTAAAACCTGGGGATATGAAAAACAGAAATCACTTTTCAACTACCGACCACTTTGTAATCTTATATTGATGGTCGTAATAGTGATGATAGTAATGATAACATTTGGATTGACAACCTGAAGGTGAGATTCTTGCATTTATTGAGCTCTCTCCTCGACCAAGTGTGTCGTCTGGGCCCAGTAGAGATTGCCCATCCGTCTCCTGCTCATCTGCAGATCCATAGTACATCTCAGGGGGTGCAACACTCGAGTTCAGCATGCTCTCTTCAACATCTTCACATTTTATATCCAGAGGATCTCCCGTTTTTGGAGGCTGACCAAAGAGAAACCCACCTGAGGAAGCAGGACCAAAGGCGCCAGGTGGAACTCCTTGCAGGTATGCATCGGGTCCACCCGGGCTCTGAAACACCTGTTGTGCTATGACAGCTCCGCCCAGGGAGGAGTAGGTGATGGCCGGTCGGTTCGCCAGCACTCTGTCCATCACATCATAAAACTTCCAAGACCTCATTTTGTGGTTGTCCTTGATGCGCCGGTACTCTAGCTTCATTTTTTTAATCTTCTCTCTACACTGGTCACCTGTGCGATAGATGCCCTTTTCACGCAAGATGTGGGCTATGCGGTCAAACACACGCTGGTTGCGCAATGAGCTCTCCAGTTCAATCTGGACCGACTCATCGGACCACAGCTGGAGCAGCTCCACTATCTCCGGGTCGGTCCAGTTGCTGCCTCGCTCATGCCTCCTGCCGCGAAAGTCCATTCTCTAAGTTACAGGACGTATTCTGCAACAAATGTAAAGGGATAATATAAGAAGAGAGCAGCCCAGCTCTTTCACCCTAACTCCAACAACACCAAGAAACAATGGGGCTCTAAATGTATACATCATGTACATAGGTCACGAAAAAGAAAATACATACACGTTATTTTATCCACTTGTGTTCTCTCACCGTAAATCAAAAGTCCAGCTCTTCGGAAACAGATTGTTGTGGAGCTGTCACTCACTTGTGACATCCACCTAGCGTAGGTCGACACATGTCACGGCTGGTTAACCCGGTTTGGAGTGTTTTGGAATGGCAAGGCTTTGTCCAGCCGGTGCTAAAATGTATAATTCATTCTTAACAGCAAAACTTGGCGAAACGGGGAATAGACGCGTACAAAAATATCTACATCCGGGTTGACGGCACATGCGTGCTGTCCTTATTCCGGGATAACTTTGGTCCGTGTTAACGGGGGAGCTGCTGAAAGCAGGCTGGATTTCACTTATACCAGGCTGTAACGGGGTAGACACAACCATGCGAGTCACAAGAGCTTTGTGTTATGGCCCCCTCTACCGTGCGGTATGGTGTTTCAGCCAAGTTTGTAACTTCAATAGATATCCACAAGATGGCGGTCATGCACAGCGATACAAACCCGCCATCTGGAAAAAACGAAGAGTATGTGTTTTGTGTACAGGCGTGGCCCGGAATTCCTTTGTAACGATAAAATAGCCATGGCAGCGGTTGATAACAAAGCAAACCGCCATCATTCTAACAAAAACGATTTTTTCTTATCATTAGGAAAGCGTTGATTGAAGTCTGACATTAAATATTATTGCGTTGTATTAATATGCACTTTTTTTTACTGAAATAATAGACATACTTTTATATTATTCCACGAATTGATCTATTTCACCTGCTAAAGACGACAAACGGTTATCGTCTTATATATGAAAAAAAATAATTAACGTGACCTTATGTGAGTTTATAGTTGATTCTCGCTGTTGTGAAAACAGTGACCCGCCCCACCCAATCATTCGACGACTACGGTGATACAAATCAAGCATACGCGATAGTCCAGTCGGCTCCAAACGTGACGTATTTCCTGGAGAAAGGGGTTTGTGGCAGTTTGTTGTCATCTACATCCAATAGAGTACCGTTACATTGTGTTGGCACGCTTTCCCTTATTCTCCCCATTTTTCTATCCTTGTATTTAACTTCGCGTATGTGAATTATCCCCAGCATATTCTGGGCAGCCAACCAGGCACGTGAAATAGCTGAAACACTCAGAAGAAACCGGTAAAGAAATAACTGGGTGCGACGGTTGAAGTTAACTGGCGAAATATAACCATGGTGGTGGTGGAGGTGGTTGCAGTAAGTTGGTGGTGGATGACAAGCAAGACGGGATAGTTGAATTCAGCACTTTTGAAGGAGGATGGGTGTGTGCGGAAATCGTTGTTATTATTCATCTTATTCATCGTCAGGTTAGATGTAAAGTTGAAAGTCAAGCCGCCACCCGGTGGGAGAAGAAGAAGAAGAGGATGAGGAGGCAGCACGCGTCGGTCCTTGTTGGCTTCTGACTTGGCGAAGGTACGAGTGACACCTGGTTGATTGTTTTAGTTGTTGTGAAAGCCACGACTTAGACGTATTCAAAAGCAGGGAGGGGGTCTGTGTCAGAGTGGGTGGGAACAATGGGAGTATTTGCGGAAAGCATGAAGGCTATTTTAGCACAAAGTCTACAGCCAGCGCTGCTGTGACCAGTCTTCCCAGTCAGGTGCATCCTTCCCCAGTCTGGATGTCAAGCTTTCTTAATTCAGTATAGCCTAGGTGGACCTTTTTTTGTTTGAGGAGACATGACTTAGCCCGATAAATTATCGGCTTTGATCTGCAGTGCTTCCGCTCTGAACTTTCTTGTTGGTAAGATAAAGGTATGTTTGTTGTAACTGTTGGATTGACAGTGTTGTTTTCTGCAGTATGTCTTATTTGACTCCGTTAATTCAGATTTATGTCTTGCTTTCTTCCCTCCCCTCTGTCTCCCTTGCCCACACTCTCTTTAACATTTTCTGTTTCTCTTACTTATTCACCCTGAAGCCTTAATAGGCTAAACCCCTCATCAAGTACTTTATCTATGTAAGGTGGGAATTGCTGTAATAGATTTCAGTTAGCTCAGACAGGGCAGAAATTGTTTAGTCTAAGCTGCACACTGTTCCTTTTCACACTGGCATCAGATATATGTGCCTATTTTAAGGAAAGCAAACAGTGCTCTGCTTGAAAAACTCAACTCAAAGTGATCAAACTCATTCTGTCCTGTCATCTGGTTGCTGTTGTTATTTTATACCTATGGGGTAACTCCCAAGGGGATCTCAACAAGGGATGAAGTCAAGGTCACAAGCAACTGAGGCAAACGGTATAGCTCCAAGCTTCCTGCACAATCGGATTACACTACCTCACCCCATCAAAGATTACCCTATAAAACTAATCTTTTGTGCCTCTCTTTGTTTAGCCCAAATCTTTCCCAGGCCAGTTTGGAGATAAAGGCTATTAAAAGGGTTGGACTGAGTGGTTCACATACACATTGTCTGGGGTAGCCCAGACAACACTTTTCCAGCTCTGTTGATTTGTCACCAGCACTGGGTTTAACAGTACTGGTAATTCTTCAGCTGTGAGCTCCTAGGAGCACGCATTTTATAAGAAGCATAAAACAGGAATGCAGTGGAGGAGAAAGAAGTAGGAAGACAAACTTGTCAACAGTATAACTCATCTATAAACTAGGGCAGAGACTGTTGTGGATGAGGGGGAAGTTTGACATAGGGAACAATGCCAAGATTCAGATGGCTGTTCAAAATTGGGTTGGATCTCTCTGTGGGACATTACTTACAGAATTGATTCTTTCTTCTGGACACATTGCTGCTTCCCTTGACAACATTTTATCAGGCTTTTCCATCTCTGTAGTGGGAGCTAAGATGGATCAGGCTTTAGTCGTACTCAGTCATCGCGTTCTCGCTAACTTCACAGTGCGTCCCAGATGATCGCAGTGCAGCTGACTCCCAGCCGTGAACCGCTGTCCTGACTGAGCACAACATGCTTGTGCATTGCCTCTGGTTCTCCAATCACACTCTAACTCTGAGCAATTTTCCCTCTCAGCAGAGGATGCTTGGCTGTCAGAGGTACTTCACAAATGCTGCAGCCCTCTCCTGTGCCGTGGTTTTCTATGAGAGGGCAACGCAGAGCACCTGGTGGGTGTTGATTTGGCTGGTGGGCAGCCTGAAATGGAGCTGGAGTTCTGCATATGGTCTGTCACAGCTTCGCATGCTTGTCATTACCAATGGAAATTGCCTGTTCATCCCTATCAAGAGTAGATCTGTTATTCTGTCAAATTATGTTCATCGCATCTCTCTAGAGTGATACTAAACTATAGGAAGTTAACTGAATGCACATGCTTTTTGTCAGATACATTTAATTTGCACTATTGAATGTGTTCATGTAACCACAGGATTCTGCTGCTGTTCACAAAACAATTGCTCTGGAGCAGCTGGGGGTCAAGTGTTTTCCAGATCATACACATTTTCCAGATGGGTAGGAAAATCAAATTGGCAACTTCCTTGTTTAGAGACCTGTTCTCTAACTCCAAGCCTTCTCTAAAATTTCTGTACTTGACAAGAGGTAAATCTAGAGCATATATTCATATAAAATCAAATATCAGAAAATGTTTGATTTAGTGCCTTAATATTGACAATGTGGTGACATCCATATCAGCAGTGGAAATGTGGGCCAAGCAGATAGAGCCATTCATTAATTATTGCACTCAGCTACAGCTGACTGATATGGGAATTTTGAAGCATACTGATATGGATATTTTAAACTGGTAAAAGAAATAATGTTATTCTGGCTGATATGATTTTTTTATGTAAACTCTTTGAAAGGGATCCTTCAGATTTGGTTATTTAATGAGTTGTGACAGATGCCAGATATTTTTACAGTTTAACAATGAGCTTTATTATCTGAGATAGCAATACCAGGTAATATTAAACATAGACAATGAAGAGTTGTGGAAAAATTATTATAAATAACTATAAATAAAAACACAAATACAGCCTGCATAAAATATATATATATATTAAGAAAAATTGGGGTCACAATTGTTCTCAATCTAGAAGAATGTACTGCATATGCTGCAGTTTTCTTTTGCTCACGTAGCAACATATACTAGTACTGCCACTGACGTTAGCCTGTGATGAGCCAGTATTGGCCAATAATATACCTCCTGATTGTGTGTCTGTGAGGCTGTGTACTGTATGTGTAGCTGCAACTTTCAGTCGCTGTAGACCACATCATATGGTTACTGTTGTACAGCCTGTACGATCAGAAAAAGACAACATATTGATAATAATAGCAGCAGCATACTAATACAGTCTCAATACCACTATATTGATGTTTGTGTCTGAAAATTCCCCCCAGATCTTTCTAGATCTTCCTTGCATAATAATCAGTTCAGTTCAGTTCAAAACACGTCTTAAAAGCGGCTGTTCCTCAAAGCTACAAGTCTGTAGAATATCCAGCAGTCAAGAGGCTGTTGCCCAAGGGCCTAATGATGATATCAGGGCAATAATGAATGCAAAGTGTTGATGCATTGCTGTTCCATCTCCCCCTCTTCACAGAGTAGTTAAAGAGCGAGGGGGCGTCAAAGGACAGGAATGACTCTGTGCTTAGTTTGTACAACACAGTCTTGTTGTGTTGGCCACTGAACAGCTCCACTGGAGCTCCACTGGAGCAGTTCAGGGTGAAGCGTGCTCCTCAAGGGCACCTTGGAGAGAGGAGAGGATTGTTCTAACCAAAGTTTTATGATAGGGAAGGGGCAACCTGTTGTTGCTGCTGCTGCTGTTGTGTTACATGGGTGAGAAAGTTTTTTTTTTTTTTTTAACTACTGATACTGCACTACATTAAGAGGTCTGTCAACAGCTTGAAACAGAAAGTTCTGAATTAGTAATTCTAAGAATCCATGTTATTTTAGCATACCGCAAGTCACTTATCCACCCCTGCATTCCCACTGGCTCACTCCAAGCGTGTTACTAATCTCAAAATAGGTTATGCAACTGACTTTCTATTTTCATTGTAGTTTGGATCCTAAAGTCTTAAGTTCTCCTGTGGTTTGAAGGTCGAAGTTTCATCTCAGCTTTAGGCCTTTGATGTATATTGTAAGAGTAAGCAGCCGCTTGTTAACTCTTCTCCAGGCTGTGTTTTGCGAGAAGGTGTTTTGGGCGTTGTGTTATTATGTACTCATTATTTTGCGCAATGCTGCATGGGGTGGGGTGGGGTGGGGTGGGGGGTGGGGGGTACCCCCGCCACTCTCTCCATCTGTTCCCTCAGCCCTCTCAGTGACAGCAGACCCCCTGCTCCTGTCTTTTTATTTATTTTTTTTGACTCCAGCATAGGATCTAATGAGCTCGGAAGAATTGCTCCACGGGAAAAGTGACAGCCCTTGGTCATGTTTCCACCACCTCTCCTACTGCGCTCGAATCACACCCACTCCTAAATGTATCTGTGAAAGCACAGATATATTCAGTGAGCTTCTGCTCTTTGAGTAGTTTGGATACGCCTAACTCCCCTGAAGCAGGGGATAATTGTTTGGGCGAATGAAAGGCGAGAGCATTCCTTGTGTTGGTGAAAAGTTCTGAAATATTTCTCTGTTTTGGAAAATGGATTTTAGGGAGCACTAAAGGCATAAACAAGCTTACCTGCAAACCTCTTGCCTTGTTACACTTTAGGTTGCCCACTGCCAATAGACATTCATTCAGTTACAGTTAGTTGATTTCATTTTCCTCAACAAAGGACCAGTCATTTGACAGGACTCATACGCTGTGGAAAATCAAAATTGACGCTCTCACTAAAATTGGAACTTCTTAAAAGATTTTTTTGTGAGATGTCTAACATGTTCCAAGCTTAAGCAATTTTGACAAACCATGGCAGTGTTTCCCAAAAGTATATAAAGGCTAAGATGCTCTTAGTCCTCTTGTAAGTCTGTAGGCTAAGATCATAAGATATACTTTAGGCTACATGTCATCATATCCCTAAACTGTTCCCTAGTATGACTGGACTGTCTGTGCCTATTTTTCATGGTTTTCAACTATAACTAGGTTCCATCAGTGCTACCAGACTGCTTGTAGACACTTCCACCTACCTGCCGAAATAATCACCACTTAATTGCAATACACTGTGAAAGTGCATTCTTTTTTTTCTTTCACCTTTAATGCTTATGAAAAATCTGAACACACTCAGCCACTGTCAGTGGAACAGTCTGCTCCACAGCCAGTTTGCCTTACCCTGCAGAAATCTCATTGTTTTTCCGTTAACAAGACTCTTAAGTTCTAAAGCCCCATAGCAGACCCTAAAGCCTGCAATCTTCATTACACCTCACAATTTGAAACAGTTTGACAGAATGAACTCCGCACTGATGATTTTGCTATTCTCAGAGCCTGAAGGGATTGGTGATAAAATTTTAATTTGTCCTGAGGATTGGCCATAAAGGAAAGACCACATGGTTGTCAGAATCTAAAGGGTTCATCTCCTTTGGAGCCTGATACTGCTGAGCAAAGATCACGACAATCTGCTTACTAGATCATAAGACATGAGCACAATTGACAGTATGATGTAAGGTCGGAGCAAGAGACAATATCACTGAGCGCTCAAAACAAAAGGAACATCTTTTAGGGAGCTTGAATGTGCCCAGTAATGTTCATTGCAGTTTGCCCATCGGGACTGATATATTCAGGCCTAACTTTGGACTGCTGGTGGTGGAAGTGGAAAGGACGGTTGGTTGCCAGAACATTATGAGTCATGCTGTGGGGACCATTAATATCCTGTTTTTGATACTGAAGTTGACAGTTTGACCTTAGAGGAAATCTCAACTTGAGCTGGCAACTAGATTTTTCAATTTTTTGTGTAAAGTTACACATTTTGGCCTGCTCATGGTCGTAGGAGATGAAATATGCTGGAGGTTCACCAAATCTCTATTGAACTGAACACCTATGGGAGAATATGGATGTGTTGGACACTTCCATCCATCAGAGTTGGAGTCTTTGCCAAGGCATATTGATTGTAGCAGCCTGTAGAGGCCCAACACCTTACTGAGGCACTTTTTTTTTTTTACTTTTGTCACCATCTGTAGACAGTAGCTGTCAAAATATCCTCTCTGGACTAAAGTGTTGGACAGACAGACTGACTAACTGACAAAAGTAATACTGAAATATGCTAAAATACTGACTAGAACATGGCAGTGGGAATAAAAACCAGTCCACGTGTTCAGCTGTTTTCCTCCAAGCTTACTGCCCTTTCGGTACCTGCTAAGAGGGTTTATATTGGATTTCTTTGAATTTTTAAACCTCCTGGAAGAACCTGAAAAAAGTCATGAGTGAACACAACAGACTTAAATTTGTTCAATTCACAGCAGCTTAGACTGAGCACCTGCAGTAGCTCCAATTTCTTTTCGCATCAGTTAGTGGTGTATCAGGGATTGACTCACTGAATGGGACCATGAGGCCATGTTGGTGGGATCAGCAGTGGGAATGGACAGGCATTTAGACCGGCATCACCTCCCTCCTCTTCATCTTTCTTAGGATGAACTGATATACTTTGCAGAATCCCACACCTTATCATCTTTCTTTTCACTCAGAGTCGGTTAACTTACCACAAAGCTTTTCTTTTTATGTGTGACTTACAGGCTCCTTTCCTACGACTCAAAGAGCTACAAATCAAAGGCCCGCAGAATGTCCCAGTCTGAAAATCTTTTTTGTTTGAACATCCGTTCAAATAATGTTCCTTTAATCGCGCTTGTTATTTTACTATCCAATTAAAATATGTTCAGCAGTACTTTTTCATACCTAATAAGCAGTTGGTTGAATAAAAATTTTGAAACATTCTAAAATTCAGAGCAGTTTCCAAGTGAGAGTTTAAATACCCTCTCCATCAGACACCTTGCCTTTTTTGTTGCCACAACTAGCTGTGTACTGGTTTTCTTGGAGCTCATCCTGTATTGCAGCAACATGCCTACTGTATATCATTATCATGCATTACCATTTCAGGTCTGAAAAAGATGAGGGAGCGTTGAAAAATAATTCTGTTTTTGGCAGAACCCTTGTCTGTTTTGACCTAATATTTATGCTTTGCACATTTATTAAGATGTTGGGGGGGGGGTTTAGGAGTTGACAGTGATTTAAGTGTGATGCATGATATGGTCTGTGGGTGTTTTGTTTATTTTTGCTGCATTTTTGTGTTTGTTTTCTGAATGGTATCAGCAGTAAGTAATTCAGGCCCAAGACTGACCCAGTTAAGAAGGCCATGTTTGTGTTGATAGCTGGCTCTGTCCTCTCATCTCTAGGCCACTGTTCTACTTTGCTGCTGTAAGGTGGAGCAGCCCCGCTCTGCCTGGGAAGCAGTGACAGACAAACGGATTGACTGCACCTGTGAAGTCTTCTCCTTTTCATGGATGCCAAGGTGGCCCTGCTGCACTTATGGACAGTCCTTGTCCTCCACACGGCTGAAGTGAAGTGGATTGATGCTGCAGAGGTCTACACCAATGCTTGGGCTGTCCAGATCAATGGGGGGCCAGAGGAGGCTGATCGCATCGCCAGGGAACATGGTTTTATCAACCTTGGCAATGTAAGTACACCTTACAGTATACTGTATGTGTAGTGTGTGTTTGCAGGAGCCTCTTCCATATTCAATAACCACATATATCGCTTCATGTGAGACTGCATCCATATACAGCTCTGGCTTGTAGGTGAACATCAGTGTTGGAAATTTGTTGTACATCAAAGGCGAGCATCAGAGAGCCTGACATGAAACCTCTAGGCCATCCTGTTCCTTCAACAGATTGCAAAAGTGTGGCCTCCTCCATTTTCTTAAAGCTTAAGTGGGGCGTGCATAACACACTGGCAGACTGTTGTTGTGTTTGCAGAGTAGTGTTAGAAATAGACAGGAATAATAGGGCTGTTATTTTGGGGTCTAGACAAAGGTTGTTATATTTAATTATGATGTAGGTAGTTAAATTTTATTGCCAGCACTTTAGCTTCTGTTTTTTGGGTTACCAAATCATTTTAATTAATTGAACTGTTGTGTCGCACAGTTTGCAGATGGGGTCAAGAAAAGCAGTTGTCAGAAGCGTTGAAGAACAGGGGAAAAGAGGGGCAGGGGGCCAGTAGTGACTTATTATTCTTTCAGTGGTATATTGGGTCCCTTGAATATCAAAATGCTTCCCAGACTAAGATTTCCCATATTTGTGCTCAGCAGTTGACAGTGAGTAGCTATTTGGTCCCCTCTTCCCCCTGTCGCTGCACTTGAGACTTAAACTTCATTTGCATGTGCCTTTTGTGGAGCTGCCTGAGTGCTGCACACGCCAGTGAACAGCCTTCTGGATTACTTCTTAGGGATATGCGGAGGAGGTTCTGCATATTCCCGCCCCACTTCTCCCCACCTTAAATAAAGAGGATTTTCTGAGGGAGAGGTTTGCAAAATTAATTCAGGCTTATCTTTGCTTTCTTTATTTTGTCAAAGATAAAGCTTTGTCTGGAGTGCGAAGCCAGATGTTTTTCGTCTCCCTATTATTATACTGAGCATTTGTCACATGGGTTTTATGACAATCTGGATGAGATTAGATGCGTGTCATTATTAGATGTTCTTCATTGTCCAACCCGTTCTATTAAATTGTATCCATGTGACTTAACGCTGAGCTTGTGTAAGGGCCTTATATTCTGCTTGAATCTGGAGTTCCTTTGGTATTGATCTGGATGGCTGCAGTTGTTCCAGTAGTCTAAAACTATTGTACTGTGGAGTGAAAGAAAGCTTACATTTCGTATAATGGACCCTAACAGAGTTTTACTCTTAATTGCTTCTGTGAATTCTAGATAGAGAATCAATCACGAGACTTAGTGAGTTGGTTAAAATGAAATGTTCAATATTCTGCTCACAGAACACATACATATTCTAGACAATCACCCAGGCTCACAGTGCTATGGAGCAAAAAAAAAAAGTATCTTTCTCTCATAATTCCCTTATTTGATCACCTTACCAAAGAAAAAAAACCTTTATTATTTTCTTTCCCCTATTTATCTCCTTATCGTTTAACTCAACCAAAAATACATTTCCAGCGTCTATGCTGCCTATTAAACCACAGGGAGATGTATAGCTTTATATTTCCCCTCTGTTAATTAGAGATTGCATCAGAGGAGTAGAGCTGGCAGTAGGCATAGGACAGTGTTCTGTAAGACGGCTGTCTGTTACTGAATCTCTGATGCCATATGGCAGCTTGTTATTTTAGTGCATGTGACATTAAGCCGCTCAGGTCCCAGAGCATGAAAGAGCAGCATAGTCCTATTTCACAAAATGGGCCCCAAAGATAACCCACACACCTTACCCCAGCCAACCAATGTTTTTTTTTTCTGTGGTTCTGGGTTGCATGACACCATAGCTCACAAGAAGTCTGTCTCCTTTATGATTTTTTTTTTTTTTTTAGGTGCTTGGAGCTTGTTTTTGCAGTTTGAGATGCAGATATTGCAACAGTGGATACATATACTGTATGTCTGCAAATTCAGAGAAAGTGAAGATGGATAATAAAAGGCAGAAAGAGGAACAAGATAATTGACACTATCCCACTGGGAAAGTAAGAAAAAAGGAGAGGGAAGTGGTGATAGCAGAATGACTGTGAGGACGTGTGGGAGATACAAGCAAAAAAAAAAAAAAAAAAATAGCTAATGGAGTATGGTATTACGGACTGAAAAGTATGAGTGTTGGATGACTGAAAGGGTGAAATTTAGTATCATTCAGTCTGTGGAATAAGATTTTGTGGGAGTATATCTTCAGTCATTGTTTCACAGAGGCACCCAAATAAGTTTTATTTTAGTCTGCAGTCCCTGAGTGGGTGCTGTGAAAGAGGGATGATCTGCAGGCTGTGTGCAGTGTCTGGTGCTCTGACAGTACAGTGTTGGGTTATGTGAGGGTGTGAGTTAGCCAAGGCTTTGTAGGGCTAGGGGCTTAGAAGGGACACAGCTTAGTCATTTTTCCATCATCCTTAATGGTTGTTGTACAGGGCACTTGAAGAGAACGAGGTGTTGTGTGATGTATAATCAGGAGGTAATGGGAGTTTTATCACTAATGTGATTACAGGATCATCACGTAACTGATTATTTGTTCACTGCAGTGCTCAGAGATGCCTTATTGTCGTGGCACGTCGTCATGTATTTGCAGATTCACTCATTATCGTTCAGCTTAATTTTCCCTGAGTGGGTGTGAGGGGAAGAAAGCATGCTTGTGTGTGTGTGTGTGTGTGTGTGTGTGTGTGTGTGTGTGTGTGTGTTTTAAGTGTAAATGTCATCAAGACTTCCTAGTGTGCATCGGCATTTTACAAGTTGACACGGAGCGTTAAATCTGTTTCTCTGTAATGTGTTCAATAGTGGGGGTTTTTTTTCAATAATGCTTTTGTGTCTGTGTGGGTGTTGCAGACCAGGGTCTAGAGCTAAATGTCATGTTGTGTTCTTGGTGAGGCGAGTCAGAATCATTGTTTTTATGTTTTTATGAGGATGGGCATGCTGTGTGGGCGTTGACAGACTGAATCGCCCCACTCTGTGGAGTAGACGACTAATGCCAGAGCTTCTCTCTTTGCAAGCCTTTGTCTCTTTGTCTTTCTATTTCTCTCTCTCTTCATCTCTCTATCTCGGTCTTTTGGTCTCTTTCTGTTTTTTTTTTTTTTTTTTTTTTTTTTTTTTTTTTCAATTTACTCCAAACGCCCCTTTTATCCACAAGTTTTGGCCCTCTTCAGAAACTGCAGGAAAAGACTCCTGTGTTGCAGAGGCAACAGGTTTGTTAAATGTTTGACTGCAGTCACCCTGTGTCAGATGACGGTACGATATTATTCCTTCGAAATTCAATGTTCCTCTTGCAGTTTCAGTTTTTCAGACCACTGTTTTACAATTTCTTACCTCCACAGTCCTGAATACTCACAAACAGACGCCTGCTCTGTGCTAGGTGGAATGTAATGCGCTCCAAGGCCTTTGTCCATTACTCTGCGCGCAGTACACTGCCAATTGTGATGCGCCAGCACACTGGCCAGTTCTCTGTCACTGGCTCTCTCTCTCTTTCTCGATTCAATTCGATTCAAATGAGCTGCATTGGCATGAAATGTAACAAAATAAATACATGAAATACATCTCACTCTCACTCACTGTTTTTCTCTCTCTGGTCTACTGCTCTGGTGGCTGTGTGAGATGGTCACACATCAGGTCTGAGCCCATGTTTTATTTGCATAAGAAATGATCGTGACGCTTTTAAGAATGTATGAAAGCAGTTTGCGCTGTGGGTGAGGAGAGTTTGATTATTTTTTATTCGAATGTGATTTGCACAGGAAGCTCTGTCAGATAGGCTGATTATATCAGACAGCATCAATGCTTTTATCTTGCTTTCATTTGCCTTCTGTTCAGTTGGGATGCGTGTGTGTGTGTGTGTGTGTGTGCATGTGTATGTGTATGTGTATAGCTGATGTTTTTGTCCTCATTTTAATGTAATAGTTTATTAAATGGAATATCAGAAGTATCGCTCTCTGTTTCTCCTTCTCAGTGTCTGCCTGTTGTTTTCTCTCCAGTGCATACCTGTTCTGAGATTGTCACAGTCCCACATTTCAACACTCTAGTTTCACTCATAAACCCATGCTACACCGTTCTGCAGCATACAGTCTGGCAATGCCTGTACCTGCAGTATTTGCTGTCTTCTATTTCCCCCAGGACTTTGAAGGGAAAATAAGGAGTGCCTCTCTGAATGAAAGCTGTGAAGTTTTGCTGTTGGCACTAACGAATCTCAGTAGAACGCGTCTATGGAGGTGCTAATATATTATAATGGTACCAAGAGATTATTATAAGAAAGAGTAAGAGTCTCTCTCAGCAGAAAACAAAGCTCGTTTTTTTTTTTTTTTTGCTCTATCACACTATTGTCTCGAGTCATTTTCAGAATGTCTTTTTTCCTTTTATTCTATTTAATAGGTATTTATTTTGGTCACTGCAATAATGATTCACTTTAGTGGAGTGAAAATTATCTTTCTTTTTTTTTTAGATGATGCAGAATTGATCAGTCTCACATTGTCTGATCCTCACTGCAAACAAGCTTTAATATTCACATTTAAATTTGCCTGTTCAGCATGGAGTTCAAGCCAATTAAAACAAATGTTTGGCATCCTTTAACTTGTGACATTGCTGCCATGAAAATGTATAATTATATAATTATATATGATAATTTGATAATGACAAAATCATCAAAACTGTGAAAAATTGTTATGGAGGTTTTGGATAAGGCAACAAGACTAATGGTAATTCATGTAATAGGAGCTTAGTTTGGTGTCATCTGCAATAATAAACTCTCGTATAGTATAGGAAAAATGTTTTAGAGTGGCTTGATAGCAACCTAGCATTACAGAACATATACCTATGAAATGTAACACTTCACATTATGTATAAATGATGTATTATTGTATTTTGGAAGTGTGTTTATATTTTCAGCTTGTTGAGTTATACTTTCAGTGTGTTCAACGTTATTAATTCAAAATATTAATATTCATATAGATTGATTGACAAACATTGCCCCAATTTATTTCTGCTCTCACAGCACCCCTTCCTCCT